AGAAATCTCAGAACAAACCATGTAAACGACTCTGAACAATGACTGTGAATGTTGCAGATCCAACCCCATTTCTTTATCTGCTCTGCATACTTTTGAAGCAGTTGATATCCCAACTCTGGAAGAACCTGACCAAGACAATAATTCTCCAATATTTTAAAGACAAAAAGAGGCAAACTAAAGACCGCTGTATAATTACAGCACATAGAAGAACTGCTAGGCATTAGCAACTCGAGTTATACCAGTTCGTGCTCTGGATTAAGGTAAGTACTGTTCTGTAACTCACCATGTAAAACCTATTCAATAAAGAATCATATGGTTTAAACAAAAAGAAAAACACAAAATATGCCAATGAATGTAGGAAGGGTTCGTTTTGCAGAGTTCACCTTTTTACGTAGCTCTTCAAGTCTTATCCTTTCATCTGCAGCATGCTGTAAAAGAGGATTCAATTGTGATTAAAATAGTAAAGCCAGTAGCAACAGAAATGGTTTGAAAAAAAAAATACAGATTTATGCTCATGATATATAAAATATAAGTCCAAGCAGAAAAGATAACTCTCCATGATTTTCAAAGCTAAGAATCTAAAGTTATTAATATGTAATGACTCATGCTACTCTAGATAAAACGCTTGTTGGTTTAGTCTCAAAATCAGACTTGTGATTGAGTACAAAAGTATAATTCTGCAAAAACTTTACCCATTGGACATATATATGATCTAGTTTCTTCTGGATAATGATAAACCTAAGAGCCTGATAGCCAGTACATGGTATGAGCCTATGAGGCAATAAATAGTGTCTCTCATCCCTTTCCAACTAATCCAGCCTTACACCTTTCAATGATTTCATCAGCCCTGCATTTAGTATTGAGAAGCCATTTGCATTTTCTTTCCCTTGAGTCTGAAGTTTGAAGTGCACTTTCTCTAATGCTTGGATTCTCATAAACATCTCTTCATAAAGGTATTTTTTAAAACTTCATGAATGTTGTTTGGGATGTTCATTTACAATGAAGCCCCAAAGAACCCAAACAATAAATTATAATAGGTAATAAAATTCAATGATTGGATGTTCGGTGCAAGTTCTAACACCTTTCTTATAAGCAATAAGTATATCAAGATCACCATTAGAATCAGTGTTATCATGTGAAGCACAGTAGTAGCTCAAGTCAAACATTAGATTAACCTCTATGGAGTTGTTTCTCATACTTATTGATTGAATATTCATAACATCTGGAATAAGAAAATTCATTTTTATAATGTACTTCGTATGCGATCTTGGGCATTTTTTGGACGATCAAGAAAATGAGGTGATGCAGGGCATCTCTCGCCCAAGGCTTGATGGAAGTCGGTTCATTTTTTGGCCGATCAAGCAAATGAGGTATGCGGGGAATCTCTCGACCCAGACGCTACAAAAGTTTTGAACCGGCCCAAACGCGACAGGAAATTGTGAGCTAGATGTATGGAGCAGTCCAATTCAAAGCTGGAAGGTTTGATCGATCTCCTTAGGGCTTGGAACTGCCACCCAAAGGCAGTGGACCCCTTCTTTATTGCCTAATAGTATCTATATGTTATTTTGGGTGTTATAGGG